GCGGCACACAGCAGAGGACGTCGACGGCGTCCCCGAGGCGCGCCCCGCGACGCCACTGCTGGTTGGCGCGCCGCGACGCCGCAGGCGCAGCGAGCAGCGCGCGGAGCAAGGCGCGGAGCAAGGCGCGGAGCAAGGCGCGGAGCAAGGCGCGGAGCAAGGCGCGGAGCAAGGCGCGGAGCAAGGCGCGGAGCAAGGCGCGGAGCAAGGCGCGCAGCACCCGCCCACTTAGCTCGGTACTCGGCTGGCAAGGGAGGCTGGGGTTTAATAAGCGGCGTCGACAAGATGAATCTAATTTCCCCGCGGACACGCCGTGATTCGCCCCGTCCCTCTCGCACTCGCGGGGCGCTCCAGAGCGGTGCGAGAGAGACGGGGCGACGGAGGAGGCGGAGGCTGCGGGCCCCACCGCGCCGCCACCACGCTGCCAAGCACGCGCGCCGGCTTTGCCGCGTCGTCGCGGTGGCTTGTTGTTGCGGGCCGCAAAAATTCAGGTGCCAATACAGAGCGTTTCTTAATGTCGCCGATTCGGCATTTTTGTCATGTTGGTACTCTGCTCTGAGCCAGGCCTTTCCCTCCCAGTCCCACGGCGCTGATAGCGGGCCAACCCGCGACATACTGTACTATTCTGCGGAAACCCGCGTACTTGTAGCAGCATATGCACTGTGCATGTCCGCGATGTGAGTGGGTGCGTGCAGTGATATGGGTACTACTGCGCTGTATGGAGGGGGTGCAGTGTAGGGGGCGTGGAAGAGGGAGGGGAGGGGAGGGCGGAGGCGCCGGGGAAGGACTTAAGGGAAGGCCGTGTGCCAGATTAGCCGGCGCGCATTTTCAAACCCACGGTACTGCAGTCTCCCACGGAAGGCCCCCCTCGCCCCTTTCCATAACTGCAGGTACTACACACTGCAAAAATAGCTGAAAAAAAATTGCACAAAAATGATGCTGGGATGCTGCAGCAAAATTGGTGGCGCCGTCGGGGTGGTGAGTTGAAGCACGTCGCCCATACGGAATATGGTCTCGCGTAGCGCCCCCCCCCCTCCCGCCCCTGACCAGTCTTACGCAAGTGTTACAGCACCGCTTACAGAGTGGGCCAGCCGCGCTGCCGGAGTCACTCCGCTTCCAGCCACTTCCAGGCCGAGCGACAGATCCGAGGCACATCCGGTGACATTGGCCTACAAAAATTTAGTTGGTGTGCACCACATTTGGACACATGAATCCTTCCTCACTCGAAGTCCTGGTCCTGATTGACTTGGATTGCCAGTGCACCGGCGTGGAACGAGGCGGGCCGCCCTATCAGCCGATCGGCCGCGACCGCCGCGACGGGCTGCCGGTTCACTTCGCGTTTCACGCTCCGCGGATGCTCATTCCGTGCGGCGTGCCATCGTCGCTCTGTCTCTCTCGCACGCACGGGGCGCCCCGCCCGCCCCGCAGTGGCTGCGAGAGAGACAGGCGGCGTCCGGAATCGCCAATCAGGTCGCTCGACCCGCGGCGGTCACATTCGCCACACAAAGAGACGCCGCGGCGGCGTCAGCCAAAACTAAATCGCGCGGGCGGCGCCACGTTTAGACGCCACACTGTAGTCCAGGCGGCGCAGCGCGAAGCGGGCGAAGCGGGGAAATTTTCCCCTCAAGGAGCGGGAGGCGCGCCGAAGCTCCGCGCATGTCGAGTCTCTCGTGGTCGTGAGTCGGAGCTGACGGGTAAAAAAGACCAGACCACAACAAAGGCGCTGGAAAAATCCAAAATAATCGAGCGGTCTGGGCGGCGACTCCGTGATCTGGAGACCGCGGAAGGGGCACCGTGCTACGCATCGGCAGATTATAGCGGGGCGGGGCGGGGCGGGGCGGGGCGGCGCGGGGCGGGGTGGGGCGGGGCGTATCGCTTTGTCGCAAGCAAGCACGCCGTCGACGAGGTGCCGCCGAACACGCCAACTTTGTTGTTGTCCGCGATGAAGCCAATCTGGTTGACGGTTTCGCGCGGCTCCGCGGGGGGCGTTCGGACTGGGGCGCACTTTTGTTGTCCGCCGATTTGGACGTCCTTGAGGGCCTCGGCGTCCTTGGCGGCGACCGCCACGCCCCGCTGGACGCTCGTCCGAGGCATGACACTGCATGTTAAACCACTGCGCCGCGCGCGTGGACTTCCCCCGAGGAACACCATGGCAATGGGCCCCCCGGCGTTGAGGTGCGCGGCAACTGCACTGGAAAGTTAAGACAAGCCACAGAAACTCCCGCGCAACCTGCCAACGCGTGTCTCAAGCACCAAAAAATAAAGTCTTTAGGTGGGGCCCGGTGGGATTCGAACCTAGGTCGCGTTGTCTGTCGCGTCGGCCCACTCGTAAATTACTGCTGTGGGTGCATTCCATCCGGCCGTCCAAGCAGTCCAAGGAACGGCTTGTTCGCCTGCACGCGGCGGACGTGCGAACGAGACGGACAAACAGAGCGAGTTGACGCAAGATAGCGCGCCGGGTTGCAGCAGACGGCCGCTCTAATGCATCCACAGGGGGAAATACCCGTGGGCGCTGCATCGCTCCGTTTATCACACGGCCAAAAGGAAATTTAATTCTGTCTACATGGCAATTTTCAGAAAATTACACTAGTGCCTTCCAGGTGAGCTGGCAGTAAAGGTCATGGTAGGAGTTTTCGAGTAGTTGGGTCATTGACAATAAAGTTACAAAGATCCCCTCTCAAATGTGACGGCTTTGTTTTCAAATGGGCATGACTGCGCTTTCTGCTCGCTCCACAGTTTGCAACTAGAAGAGCGTCCTGTCTTCTTTTACTGCCAGTGTTTCGGTGTGCGATGGCTTGTCTGCGGTCTCTCTCTGGCGAGCCCGGCACTGATCCGCGTGACGGGCACGGCGGGCACGGCGAGCACGCACAGTGGGCCAGAAGACCGGCGGAGGCGACCAAAATTCTAGACGCGTTTTGTGCTCCAGAGTCGCTAAATGGGACTCGAACCGAACGTGTGACCCCACCAACGGATTGCTCTCCGGACGAGGAATCCAATGGTGGGGTCACACGTTCGATTTGAGTCCTGTTAAGCGACTCTGGAGCTCAAAACGCGTCGAGAATTTTGGCCGGCCTCCGCCGGTCCTCTGGCCCACTGTGGCACGGCGTCGACGACCACGTGGAAGACGCCGCCGCCAGCCGCCTTCAAAACGACGACCAACCAGCTGGAAAGCGTGTCCGCGGATAGACACGACTAAGAATCTTAGAGATTCTTAGATAGACGCGGCCCGCGCGGCCCGCAGAGGCTGCTACATTATTCCGACGCGAAATGGGACGCTTGGCCGATCGAACGGCTGATGTACACCGCCTGCGTGCTCCACCATTGCCGTCGAGCTGCTGCACTGGATGAGCTCCGCGCACGCACAGCGCGTGATTTGCAGCAAAGGACGCGGCGCGGCAGACCCATTCCGAGAGTCGCTCTGTCGCTCTCGCACCCGTAAGGGGACGCCCCATGAGTGCGAGAGAGACAGAGCGACGAACCAGCGCCTGGCTGCACCTCTGCCAAGGCCCGACTTGCATAAGCCCCGAGGGGTTGAGTTCTGCAGTCGAAAAGGAGGACTCGACTCATACACGGCCAGTCAACGGGTTCCTCGTTTTGAGGGCCAATCCATTGATACCATTCGCGTCCTCTCTTTGAAGAGAGGCGCGCTAGAGAGGCCACCCCTTTGTATTTAGCCAGCTTCACGCGAGGCGCGACTGCCCGGAGACAAGGCGGCGGCACGACGGGACGATCGTGAGAGAGGCGCGAGTGATAAATCCCAAAGACAAGCTCTGGAGACAGAGAGACAGAGGTTCGCGCGTCGCGGCGTCGCGGCGTCGCGGCAGGCACGTCGGTGACACCGAAGGCCGGGTTTTAATTAGGTGGCGGCGTTCATGCTGTCTGCGACTAGTCTGCGACCTCCCCGTCGACGGAGAGCCTCTCCTCTCTCCTCGCGCGTTCCGCATGTTTCCGCCATTTTCCTTTCGAAATAAAACAAGTGAATTTCGGTGGAAAGTCCCGGAGGCGGGAGTCGCACCGACAGTTCGGCTCAAAATTGAACCACAAGCCAGACCCGCGCACCCAATGGCCGACTCAAGACTCTGAACGGCTCGGCCATTTCTCACACGTAATTAAGAGAGGCAGGAGAGATTTACATCTTTGCATGCGCCGACGTCTGCGGTGCGATGAAACTTGCAAAGCGTGCGACCGGACACGGTCTGCGACAAGGCTCCCGGTATGATTGGGAGTTTTAACGTGTGGGTATTCAATGAATGGGCATCATTGTTCTTTCTTTTTTTTTTAGATTTCTGTGAGCTTTAACAGTGCCAAGGCACTTAACGATAGCTACACGGCTATTAGCTGCTGGGAGAGCTCGCGCGCGGCGCCTCAGAGCCCCCGCTGGGTAGGCAGCCCAACCTACGCCACTGCCACTGAGGCTGCATGGTCGAAAGACCTCATGGTGCTCACGCCCCCTGAACTCTGTGCTGGGTGCCAGCAAATGTGCCTACCCTTGTGACGTAGCTCTCTCCGAGCTGACGCAGCTGTGACGTTGGTACTGGGGAAACCAGCCCTAATCTCGTGGGGAAACCAACGACCTTTTGGGCCCTCGTCACTATGTGGGTCTACTTGAAGGCAGCTCATGAGGCATGCATGACTGTGTTTATTTAGATATGTTCCTATCACTTAAGAAACTTGAGAGCATGATTCTGCCACGCAAGTTTTGCCTTAAAAGAAATTCAGTGAAACTATTCAGAAACTTTAGGTCATACGCATACCGAAGCAATAAGAAAACCAATGGCCACGTCAATAACCATCAAACATGAAATATTCATTCCACTAGTACACTTTTCAAGTTTGTTTTTATAAAATTATCTACAACAGAGCTCTTGAATTTACCACTAAACCTGAACTGTTTTGTTCTCATTTAGCAAATTATGAACCAGAACCTCAAAAGTAGGTGAAGTGGATAAATCAAAGATTGTAGCAGGATTTAAAAACGTTGAAAAGTTAAGTTCAATACTCACCGTTTTTAGCCTCTTAATGATTTCTCCACCGGGCATGACGAGGGCGAGTAAAGTTCACTTCACAAGTTTAACCTTTAGGTTATGTCCCTCAGTGATAACACATAAAAACGTTCACTTTTGACCTTAACTTGACTTCGGTCAGAAGCAAGACCTACATTGGATTCACAATGTATCCATTTTGATACAGAAACCCTCGCGGGACCAGAAAAGAACTAGAAAATATGCAATAACTTGATCTGTTTACAAAATTTTACAGCTTTCTGCTACAGCTCGACAGACATAGGCAAGGCTGCTAACACGTTTCTTTCTGGAATACGGATCAAAATTGATGTCATGTAACGGGACGTCATAGGTTCGTATCATCATTGTCAAAGATTGCACTTGATTTCATCTTGTGCCCAGCATATGCCTTTTAACAAGGACATAAAAGTATCGCGGTGGGTTAGTCTTTATCATAACTGTTGGCAGTACTGGAGAGCGCAGCACCACATGTTGTCTCTCTCTGTTTCCGTACTTTCGTGTTATCTGTCTTCGTCACTCTGTGGCACAAGTGGTCGCGTCGTCTGCTTCGAAAAGTGTGTTGTAATGTTTATCTACTTGAGGCGAGGCTTGCGAGGAGGGGCACGGGCACGTGTAGCGGCTGATAAGTCATTCTGTGACGACAGCGGCAACGACAACGACAGGCGAGTCAGTTACCATATTCCGCAATGGCGCTCCAAGTCCATTCTCGCCTGTCAAAATCCTGCTTCAACTTTGGCAAACTGCTCTGTCGTTCACCTCGCCGGCTGCTTTCCACCCACTATCCCATTGATGAGAAAATTTTTGGACTGAGTTCAGAACAGCTGCAGGTAAGTGATTTTACATTTATTCGGCTGTGTCCCTTTGATGTCACTGATGATAGCGCTAAACAGCTGGTGTAAGCTCATATCATTGTTCCGTTTCAGTTGCGGGAGACCATCTTCAACTTTGCTCAGAAAGAACTCGCACCTAAAGCTGCTGAAATAGATAAATCTAATGACTTCAAGGACCTCAGAGTATGTTGGGCCCTCTTGTACAGTCTCTTTTCATGAATTTTTACTCTTCATTATCATTTTAAATGTATATTTTGCAGACTTTCTGGCGGCAATTGGGTGAATTGGGTGCTCTGGGAATTACTGTTCAATCTAAATATGGTGGGAGCGACGGAGGATACCTTGACCACGTTGTCATAATGGAGGAGCTTAGTCGTGCCTCTGGAGCGATTGGATTGAGCTATGGCGCTCATTCTAATCTGTGTGTTAATCAGATTCATCGCAATGGAACAGAAGAACAAAAGATGAAATATCTACCCAAGGTATGACAACTTGCATTTCTTTCATTGATATGTTATGTCATGTCATGTTATGTCTTGCTGCTTTTTTAAATCTTGGAAATGATTGTTTCACAGCTCTGCTCTGGTGAATATTTTGGTGCATTGGCAATGTCTGAACCAGGATCAGGGTCAGATGTGGTGTCCATGAAACTCAGAGCAGATAAAAAAGGAAACAGCTATGTTTTGAATGGCAATAAATTTTGGATCACAAATGGGCCAGATGCTGATGTTCTGGTTGTAAGTACCACAAATAAATTAATATCATACGGTAGTTTAGACCATGTGCACACAGACTTTTCCCAAAACTCCAGTGTTTTGTGAACTTTGGGAAGGAGGGTCAAATTAGCTTTTTCAGTTTTACAAAGTAACAGAAATTGTCAAGTATTCTAATTTTTCAGGTATATGCTAAGACTGATACAAAGACTTCTAAACCCCAACATGGTATTACAGCATTTTTAATTGAGAAAGGAATGCCAGGTTTCACCACTGCTCAAAAATTGGACAAACTCGGTATGCGAGGATCAAATACTTGCGAGCTAGTTTTTCAAGACTGTGTTGTTCCTGGTAAGCGTTTATTCATTCTTTAAGTTACTTTACTTGCCATTTCATATTTTAAAACTAATACTCAGTGTTAACTGATGTGACTCTGGTTGCAGAAAGCAACATACTAGGTGGCCTTAATAGAGGAGTGTATGTTCTAATGAGTGGTCTGGATCTTGAAAGACTAGTTCTTGCAGGAGGACCTTTAGGGTAAGCACTAACATTTCAATATACAATCCTTAGCTCTCAGAAATCTTAGATCTCTAAAATGTGTATTTACTCATTTCAGCATCATGCAAGCATGTTGCGATACAACATTCAATTATGTTCATGAGAGAAAGCAATTTGGTCAGCGAATTGGTGAATTTCAACTCATCCAAGTAAGTTCATGTTTATTTAAACCAGGATAGAATATCATTCAAGGAAACCAGCCTATATTTTGCTTTTGCATCTCTTTTTAAAGGGAAAACTAGCTGACATGTACACCACTTTGAGTGCGAGTCGCTCTTATCTGTACAATGTAGCCAAAGCCTGTGACCTTGGCAGTGTCAACCGAAAGGATTGTGCCGGTGTTATTTTATATTTAGGCGAAAAAGCAACTCTAATGGCCTTGGATGCCATCCAGTGTCTGGGTGAGAATCATTTTAATTTACCGGAACACTACGTCTGATTTTCTGTGCGTACCTTTGGTCTAACTTCGGATTGCTTTGTAGGTGGTAATGGTTACATCAATGACTACCCCACTGGGCGACTTCTGAGAGATGCTAAGTTGTACGAAATAGGAGCAGGCACAAGTGAAGTACGGCGAATGATTATTGGTCGTGTCTTGAATGAAGAGTATAAGTGATTGTCCTCTGCCTAAGGCCAGTTTCATAACGAATCTCACAGGCATCTTTTTTCTGTTGTGTACTTAATTTTAAAACTTCATTTCAGATTAGTTATCCAGATCTACAATTGTGTACCTGAATGTGATAGAACATATTCCAATATTTTATACATTCTTCTTTTGTTTTGTTATAATATTTTTCTTGAAAGTAATAAAATAATTTTTTAAAAGTGCTGTTGATTTACAAAGCTGAGCTTGTTTTTTTTTTTGTTTTTTTTTGTATATTAACAAAGCCCTTATTCAGGAGAACCCTTGCGCTGACTAAAGCCAATAATTAAGGAGACGAACTAAAAACAATAGTAAAAAAAGATTTATTGAACAGAGTTGGAGGTGTGTAGAGTAGCAAAACCGTACACAGGTGTGCTCCGTCTGATGTTAAAAATTCAACCAAAATAAACTCAACAAATGGGAAACCAAATTTAAAATTTCACAACTATCAAAAATAAACAGCACATATATGGGCAGCACATATAAGGCTGCACAATGGCCCGGAATCCGTCAGTCAGGTTGTTCCATCACTCCTTTACTTTGTTATATCAAGATATAATGTTTTAAATTTCTGAATCAAGGATTTCTCGTGGAGAAAAATCATTTCAGAATATTATCATGCAACATATATGACCCACAAAGCTGAAACTAGTGACTGAAGTCACCTTCAGATTTGTACAGGGACAATTCAAAATTCAGTAGAACAAAACTTAAGATTTATCACCGCAGATGCAGTCTCAGGACTCTATCATGCAGTCAATCGTCAGGTGGGGGCAATACCGCAGTTTCGTCGTTTACTTCAATTATGGGAGTTGGGGTGACACCCGGTGCGGCATACTCCCACATCTTGACGGAATTCCATTTAGCGAGGTGTTCCTTCAGCTCACTGAACACCTCAGGATTGATACAATCCACCTGAAAAATACGGCATAAATTAGTGAAAAGACATTTTAATGCGCCATAGTTTTTACAAAAGAAAGCAACTTGAAATTCCATTTTACCGTAAGCCGTAAATTCATACTGCTGGGAAATTCATTCAACTCCTGCTTGACCCTTTTCATAGGCTGCCCCTCCACTGCACTATGCGTCTTCTCCTCCCTCTTCACTTTCATTTTTCTTTTGCCTGTCGACGTTTCTCCACAGTTCTGCTCCTCCTTGCGAGCATCCCTTTTGGGACAGGAGCAGATTTTCACTCCTATCACCTTGCGGCCCAGAACTGCACCACTGTAAACATTGAACAAATTCTCAGTGCTGACAAAGTAATCATATTTGATCTCAGTTAGGTGAGATAAGTGTGGGAAAATGAGCAATCAAAGAACAAAACTTACTATTCATTTTCTAGTGTGAATATCACATCAGTTGGAGAACGATTGAGTCCCCCAGTACAAGAGGTCATGCACATAAATTTTAAATTAATTGGGTTGTATTCACACCCTGGTTGGAGGTACAAAGGAACTGTGACAGAGTGTCGACATGAGGAAGGATCAACTGAGTAAACAGCCCCTACGTTGTCCATCGCCAGGACATGTTCTCGGTGAGCATATGCTAAAAACAAAGAGATTCCATGCAAAAATTTTGAAAATTCATTTAAAATGTCAGATTATTTTGAAGTGGAAAGAACTTACTTAAATTAGTTGGGTCATCTTGTTGCCGATGTGTAACACATCTTCTCACGGGCAATTTCCTTTGGTCCGGTTCAGTGAACACCATTAGTGCTCTAACAAATAGATTGGGAGTCCCATCCCATGTGATTTGGAATGGGACCACTTTCTCGAGATTAACAAAAATTTTATTTAGTTTCGAGGACACCTGCACAATTAAAAGGCATGAAATAAGGCCCTGAATGGTATATAACAAATTTTCAAAACATACTATTGATGGTGTTACCACAAAGTGTTTGTTTTCATCGCCAAGCACGTCAACTTTGGCATCGAAGAAATGTGGCCCTGGGAAATCTGTACGGATGGGGAGCTCCCCCGTGGGACAGTCAGGAGGAACAATTACTGAAGCCCAGTCTAAGTTGTTCATTATGTTGCTTATTGATGCATCACCACTGTGATAGGAAAGAAAATAGAATTGGTTATTGTAAAATAGAATGGAATCAATCCACCATTCACAATCCATACAATCATTCTTTCAGAGAACCGGCACGTAAAGGAGGTTAATGAGCATACGCAATTAGTTACATCAGGGTGCCCGCAACAATACAACTTACAGGCTACTTTGAATGTGTTCCATATCACCCATTCCGAAGAAATCAGATTCTTGACTCATTTTCTCTGCTGTTGCGAGTACTACATGTATCAGAAACCTAACCTAAAGGACATGAAAATAAAGACAGGATTTAGCAGTCAAACATCCAAAAAAACGTTAGATTCTTAAAAGGACATTATTCCAAATACCTTAAACTTCAAAAACAGAACAAACGCAAAATAACCGGACGCCGAAAGCACACCGGACCCACGCTCACGCTCCGGGCCGGGGTCTCTACTCACACGCACAGAACCACACACCTGTCAACACTAGTCAACACTACTCACACGGTGTCACACGTGCGAATAGTGTCAGCCAAGGTAGGCCACCCAACCCACTCCGGCGCGTTGCAAGACCGATTGCCGGCCTACCCATCAGGCGCTACAGGTCGCTGTCGCTGATGCTGCCAGTGCCAAGCGAGGCTGCATGAGGCGTGGAGCGTGGAGTATTCCGTAAGTGAGGCAGGGACGTACACTTGATCAATGCCGAGTATGTTCGGGCCGAACCCAAGTGTGCGATGAAGGGGACCTACTTTGTGTCTCGAATCGGACACACTGTCACGCAATCACGCACACCACGTGCAATTGAATGACTATAGCTCGAGGCTCTGGCATTTTGCCGAGTGTGGGGGGCCGCCGGTGACAGTAGATGTGGGATGAGGAACTTCAAGATAAACACTGGTTTAAACTGCAAAATCACATATTATTTACAAATAAAACAAAATGTCGATTGACCAGCAAATGCTCAAGTCTACAAAATTACAAAATTTCTTACATATTTACATTTTTTCAATAAAAATCATTTGAAGGACAACCTTAGAAGTCTGAAGCGAGTAGCTAGTTTCACAATCATTCCCATTCAAATACATGTCACATAGCATTGGCACTTAAATAAATACACACATGTTTGTACAATTTACAATTTTCTACAGGATTCAATAAAGTTTTTTATTTACATTTATATATGTATGTACATATATATTTTTAATTTAGTATGTATATCAATTTACTTGTAAAGGTAATATCACACAATTTATTGGTACAGAGAATCACATTTATGCCAACAAGGCGTACTTAGCCCTGCCACTGTGGGCCAGTCTGTGTCGCACGAGATCAAAGAAATGCTCAGGCAGGAAACCCAAGTCCAAGACGACCAACTTACACAACTATCACAATGAAGAATTAATTTGCTTGCGTTACTTTCACTGTGGCTGGCCACATCAGTCAGAGCACCATAGATGAAAATATGCACAACATACTCCTAGCATAATAAAGTAATTGGCACTCTCATTATACTTGCGTACAGTATGGCAATAATTTACTAAATACAAATTGCACATGCATGCTGCAGATGAGGCAGCACATTAAAATAGAGAACTATTTTCTACACACTGTTCACACTACCACCGTTAAAACTTCACCCCCTCTGTCGGTGTGCAGAGAGGGATCAAATGTTCTTTTTAGTGGCGCTGGGGGAGTTGGTTGTATTTGTGTTGATGGACTGCTCAGGCTCATCGCTTGCTTATTAAAGTCTTTGTGCATCAGAGCTGCAGCTGTTGTGTTGTTTCGCAAGTCCGGCGATTGCGACTTATAGGCTAGATGACACACTTGTAACTTGCTGGGCGGGGAGGCCCTCCCACTGCTAGAGGGCTGTAACTGTCTTTTGTGTTCTTTCTCTGTTAACATCTCCAGCATTTCTGCACTGGTGGTATCCGCCCCACACAGACTACTGATGGAGGCCGACAAAGGTCGCACTACACTTATCCGGGAATTCTGAAAACAAAAAGAATGGGGCCGATTAGCGACTTTTTCACTGACGATATCGAAATTCAGAACACAGGATCCAAATGTTACCTGTAAGTCACTAACGCTGGCCGCGCTCATCTTGAGGTTGCCGTTGCTGGCTTGACAGGACGAGACTCGCAGGTTGGCGAGACTGCCCCCGATGGCCAAGGCGGCCAAGGCCTCCTCCTTCAGCGGGTTGGCGTAGCGCCGCAAGTTCTCCTCGTTCTGCAGGTTGTTGGACTTCTCGTCCTCGTGGTGGTTGCGCGAGTGGCAGGGGTCGCTGCCGGACAGGCTACCCAGCGCCCCCAGCGAGCCCAGCGACGACGAGTTGAGGTTCCTCTTCTGTCGGCAGTACTGCAAGGTCCCCCACACCAGCAGCGCGCTCAGGATGACCGCAATGGTGCAGAACAGCAGAATCTTGTACACGGCACCTGCAACAAGCGGGACATGAGCTTTCCTTTCGGAAACTGCCGTAGCACGCGCGAGTATTGATGAGCAGCTTGGTAAGTGGACTCACTGGAGCGCTCCTCCGCGACGAGCGCGGTCTCGAACTTGACCTCCACGACGGCCACCAGCGCCGACAGGTTGGTCTGCTTCCGGCCGATCAGCTCGCCGAGGACCCGGACACCCTCCGCGATGGTGCGGCTGTCGTCGTGCGTCGTGTCGGGCGTCGACTGCAAGCAAGCAACGTTGAACCAAGGCCCTCCACGGAGCACTCCGAGAGTGAGAGAGACAGCGCCCAGTGCGTTCTGACTACTCACGATGGTGACTTCGATGGTGTCGTTGCAGCCGGCGCGCAGTTCGCACAGCAGCACCAGGGCGTCCTGGCGGTGCGGGCTGTCCTCGGCGGCGTAGGTGTGGGCCAGCTGGCGGCGCAGCTCACGGCACAGCCCCTCCACGCTGGCGGGCGCCGTGCTGGCCGTGCTGGCCGTGGTGGCGGTGGCGGCGCCGAGCCGCGCGTGGTCCAGCAGCAGGGTGAGCCTGGAGCAGCCGGCGCCCAGCTTGGCCTGGTTGGGCCAGCAGTCCGGCGGCGCGGGCAGCCGCGGCGGCCCCACGCGTTTGCCCGCCTCGATGGGGCGGCAGTCGCCCCACGGCATGCAGCCCCCGGTGAGGCACGCCTCGCGCGGCGCGGGCACGCACACCTCGTTCAGGCTGCACGGCACGGTGGGCGGCGCGTGCTGCAGGTGCTGCTGCAGGTGCGGCGGCGGCGCCAGGCAGTTGTCCAGGCCGCACCACACGCGCGTGCAGCGCACCTTGGAGTCCCGGCAGTCGCACACGTTGCAGCCGTCCGACCAGGACGAGTTGTGCGCCAGGTACTGGCCCTTCCACAGGCACACGCCGCTCACGAACGCCAGCTCCTCCACTGCGAACCGGGAAGCGAACAACATGTACCATCCGGGCCAACTTTGTCCGCACTGGTTGCAGCGAACCCTGGGACTCGGAGACGCAAAACTCACCCAGCTCGCAGCGCAGCCCCTTGCGGCCGGGCGGGCAGAGGCAGCGGAACTGGCCGAAGCCGTCCTCGCAGGTGGCGCCGTACGCGCAGGGGTTGGACGCGCACTCGTTGATGTTGATGCGGCAGTCGGGGCCGGTGAAGCCGCGCGCGCACTCGCAGCGGAACCAGTTGACGCCGTCCACGCAGCGGCCGCCGTTGAGGCAGGGCGGCGGGCTGCAGTCGTCCACGTCGCGCTGGCAGCGCTCGCCCTCGTAGCCCTCGCGGCACATGCAGGAGAAGCCCTCGCCCGAGCCGGAGTTGATGCACGTGCCGCCGTTGACGCAGGGGCTGGACTCGCAGGCGCGGTTCTTGGCTGCACAGGGGGAAAGGGTGGTTAGCGTTCGCCCGTCGCACAGGCGCGGCCCCCTACCATTACCATTACGGGCTAGACCACGCGGCGCGGACACTCACGGATGTGGCAGATGGTGCCCTCCCAGTTGGGCGGGCACTTGCAGACGAAGGTGTGGCCCAGGTCGCGGCAGGAGCCTCCGTTGCGGCAGGTGCCGCGGTCGCAGTGCGAGTCGCGCAGCGAGCACGTCTTGCCCTTCCAGCCGTCGCGGCACGCGCACGAGAAGTCCGCCACGCGGTCCGAGCACGACCCGTTGTTGCGGCAGGGGTTGGGCTCGCAGTCGTTGCGGTCTGGAGAGCAGAGATCGGTCAGTTCGCACAGTGAGCCAAAACGCCTGTCAACCTCGGGGTAGGCAGCCCAACGCGCCAACGCGTCGCAGTGCGGCGGGCTGCCTACCCCGAGCTTCGCAGGCGCGCTGACCGCCTTGACTTGCTGCACCGAGAAGTTGCAACTCTACTTACTGATGGCGCACGTGTCACCCTCCCAGCCCTCCTTGCAGATGCACTGGAAGGCGTTCACCCGGTCCACGCAGGTGCCGCCGTTCTGGCAGGGGTTCAGCTTGCAGTCGTTGATGTCTGGGGGAGAAGAGGAACCACGCCGCGATTAGAACCTGTCCTCATGGGGCGTCGGCGTCCCGTCGGGGTGCGACGAATGGGTACTCACTCTCGTGGCAGTGCCTTCCAGTGTAGCCGGGCTCGCACGCGCACTTGTAGCCGCCGCCCGGAGTAGCGACGCAGCGGCCGTGCTCGCCGCAGACCGCGCCGCCGCCGCCGCAGGTGTCGGCTGCAACACCAAGCCACACCCGTCAGTCAGGCAGTCACGCCTCGCGGGCCTGTAGAGACTCCGCGCCCGAGAGACGCTCGCCGCTCGCGCAGATACCCCGCGCTCGAGAGTCCCTTCGCCTTCGCAGGGCTCGCGGCTCGCCACTAGGCCGCATCAAAAATCACCGATTTTTGCGAATTGACCTTTTTCTGAAAGATCGTGTTCAGAAACGACCCTCCACCAAATTTGAGCGCGTTCCGACAACGGGAACCCGAGGCGCACAGGGCCTAAAGATTTGCGGGCCGCGGGTTGCCTACCTCTAGCTGCTTCTTCTCGGCGCCGCGGCTCTCTGCTGGTGTACTCAAGGAACGCAGCACAGCGTTGGGGCTGTCCTTTGGGGTCAGTACAACGCATTCAATACGTTTTGAGCACCGTCGGATGCGACTCCGCGAGTACACCGCGAAAAAACCGCGAAATCGGTTTACTCTACTTTCTACGCATATGAAGCGTTCGCGGCGGGCCAAATCGCTGGTGGAGCAGCACAACCATATCGGCCAAGGACGCACAAAGTTTGAGCAGAATGCGCCACCTGCATCACTGTCAAAATGAGGGGAATAGTGTTGCGCTCGGTCTGGAGGTAGGCCACCCGCGGCACAATCATATTTTCTCTCAGTGAAACCCGTTTTGCTGTTATCGGAATGCGCTCAAATTCGGAGGAGGGTCGTTTCTAAGCATGATCTCCTAGAAATATGCGGGAATAGGTCGATTCGCAAATATCGGTGACTTAACCTGTGGCCTACCTTCCCGGCGCAACACTATTCCCCTCATTTTGACAGTGATGCAGGTGGCGCATTCTGCTCAAACTTTGTGCGTCCTTGGCCGATATGGTTGTGCTGCTCCACCAGCGATTTGGCCCGCCGCGAACGCTTCATATGCGTAGAAAGTAGAGAAAACCGATTTCGTGGTTTTTTCGCGGTGTACTCGCGGAGTCGCATCCGACGGTGCTCAAACGTATTGAATGCGTTGTACTGACCCCAAAGGACAGCCCCAACGCTGTGCTGCTTTCCTTGAGTACACCAGCAGAGAGCCGCGGCGCCGAGAAGAAGCAGCTAGAGGTAGGCAACCCGCGGCCCCAAATCTTTAGGCCCTGTGCGCCTCGGGTTCCCGTTGTCGGAACGCGCTCAAATTTGGTGGAGGGTCGTTTCTGAACACAATCTTTCAGAAAAAGGTCAATTCGCAAAAAAAAATTTCGATTTGATGCGGCCTACTCGCCACGGCGAAGGCCCGCGTCAAGCAGAGCGAGGGCGATGCCAGCGAAGAACAGCGTCTCACGCAATCGGTGCAAGCACACTCAAGCACACTATTCATTCACAGGCTACTCGCGCAAAAAAAAACCCAAAACTTCAACCAAACAAGACAAAATCAACGACATTAATCGAGCAGGCGTGAGAAAAACAAAAGAGAAAACGGAAGAAATGAAATTGGCGGGCTAGTCTGAAGACAATCTCTAATTAAAGCAGTTTTGCTGCGGCCCTTCCAGGAAGGTGATTTACCGCAGTGGCGTGCCGAGTCTTCATAAAAGCGGGCGAACGCGTGCAACGCCGCGCCACGCCGCCCGGTCCGTGACTGTGCGGAGAAAGAAATGAGTCTGCCGATACCCCGCGCGCGGAACATGTCCGCACGACGCGGGGAGTAGCGACGGGACGATTTTCTGGAGGGACCAGGGTCGAGGTTGTGCACCGTCCAGGTTCGACGATAAACTTCCGGACTTTCAAACTGAATTTCCTTCAAAACCCGTGCAGTGTTGTTTCCTAGCCGCGAGCTCGGCCGGGTCTGGAGGCCCGGAGGGCAGGCGGCGTAGGTTTGGGGCTCCAATGGTTCCATTTGCTGGTCCGCGGGGGGGCACCGCGCACCGGCCCCCCACCTCCCCGCCCCACTGGACCCTGGGCCCCCTCAAGGCCCCCAGCTGAGTCCCCGTCTGCCGAGCACACCGGCAAGGCGATGCACTCGTAATAAGTTCAGAATACAAAAAAGTACACGAATAAAAACGAGACTGAGTGCCGGCACTACCCTTCCCATGTGCACCACCTTAATTTATAGGAAAACAAGGGGAATTGGGTCTGGTGGTTGATAGATGTTCAAACAGCCTCCGCGTCCGGGACCGACTACAAACTGAGCGCCGCTTCCCGCCCTCAAGGCACCAGCTCGCCTTGGTCGCCGTGCTCGCGGCCACCCTGTAGCCACACTGTAGCCACACTGTAGCCACGAGGTGGCCGACAGGGCGAATTTACCGGGGCAGTCATGTTGATTGAGCTTTCCTGCCCGGCAACGGCCCCAACGGCCGACCCCGCAGGCTGCTTCCGAAACGCGGCGGTCAGGCTTGCCGTCAGGGCGCGAGAGAGACGGAGCGACGAACCCGTTCGCGCTTCTTCTTGTTTGGCGACTTTAACGCGCCGTAAAGGGAAGGCCTTGGCGTCGCCGCGTCGAACTTAGTTGCAGCGCTGCTCTCAAATTAATGAACAAAACGCGTCCAAGGCGACGGCCGGGGCGACGGCCGGCCTGTTTGCCCGCTTCGCTCCGGACGTGTCCGACTGAGCGGTTCGCTCTGTCTCTCTCGCACCCCTGCGGAGCGTCCTGCAACGCCCTGCAACGCCCCACGAGTGCGACGGAGACAGAGCGAGTCTGCTCAGTCCGCGGCTGCAACACGAGTCCTTAATTTTCCGTCAAGGGCGCGGCCGGCGAGACGGCGGGACGGCGAGGCGGCGCTAGGCGGCATTCCTTGCCCTGCGACTATTTAGCATAATCGATTACAAGTTTATTGAATAAGGCGGTATCGAGCCGGAACCCGTTCCCAGCGACACGCCGCCGCGACTATCGGTGAACACTGCAGCACACTGCAGCACTGCAGCGCGCAACATCTCCATTGCTTTGGCGCGGAGAGCGGGTTTCACCAGTCGGCACTGGGATCCCCCCCCCCTCCACTTCCGCCCTGGGCGCAGGACCGACCACGCATTGGGATGAATCACCACCAGCATCACCATGAGCACCACTCTCACCATGAGAACCATCACCCGGACCATACCCCATGCTGGTCATTCGCAATGACTGGCGGTCGGTCGAAAATTAGTTCAACCTGCCATTGAACGGACAGCATGCCTTTCTTGACCCCCACCAACCGACACCAAGGAGCAAACGCCTCCACCACCAAGACCACCACCAGCAAGCCCGGCGCAGCGGCGCGGCGTACCGTGGGGGTGCCGGGGCAGGTCGCAGTTCTTGCCCTGCCAGAGCTCGGCGCAGTGGCAGTGGTAGCCCCAGTGCGCGGACGAGCAGGTACCGCCGTTCCTGCAGGGGTTGGGCTCGCAGTGGTCGTGCTCCAGCTCGCACAGCGTGCCGGCCAGCCCCACGGGGCAGATGCAGCGGAACCCGTTGACCAGGTCGTCGCACTCGCCGCCGCGCAGGCAGGGCGAGGACTCGCAGTCGTCCACGTTGGTGGCGCAGTCGCGACCTGCAAGGCCGTTCACGTTGACACTCCGGATTTTCGATTTTAAAGTGGCAGATGCATTTGGCGGTGCACAGTGGGCCAGTGAGGGCGGCCTAAACTCTCGGCGCGTTTAGAGTTCCAGAGTCGCTAAACAGGACTCGAACCGACCGTGTGACCCACCAATGGATTGCTCTCCGAACGAGGAATCCATTGGTGGGGTCACACGTTCGGTTCGAGTCCTGTTTAGCGACTGTGGAACTCAAAACGCGTCTTTGGGCCGCCCCCACCGGTAGTCAGGCCCACGTTGCCGTGTGCTGGCGTCGGCGGACGCTGACCTGTGTAGCCGGGCTCGCAGGCGCAGTGGTAGTCGTTGACGAGGTCGATGCAAGTGGCCCCGTGCAGGCACTGGCCCAGGCAGTCGTCGATGTTCTGGTCGCAGTTGGCGCCCTCCCAGCCCTGCTGGCACTGGCACTGGTAGGAGCCCTCCAGGTTGGTGCAGGCCACGCCGTTGACGCAGGGGTTGAGCAGGCACTCGTCCGCGTCTACATACATACACACAGCCATGCACAAGTTGGTCAACACACACGCATGCCACACGTTGCAAAACACACCACACTGGCACTGTTCAGGTCCCTCGACTCACTAGACTAGACTTACCGTACTGACAGGTGGGGCCCTCCCAGGCGGGCGGGCAGTCACAGCGGAAGCCCGCCACCAGGTCGACGCAGGTGCCCCCGTTGGCGCACGGCGACGACGCGCAGTCGTCCTCGTCTGCAACAAACGCCGCACCGCTCTGGAGAACTGCACACATCCCAAAAGGACGCGCCGGTCCCTCTCGCACTCACGGGGCGTCCCGTGAGGACCGCAGGCGTGCGAGAGAGACAGAGTGCGGTGTGCCGGGTGGGCCTCGCGGTGTTTGGACGAACGACGCATTCGCCACTTGCGGGCTTTTTTTCCCGTGTCCGATTCGGCAAGTCCAGTTCGTGATGTGAGCCGCGGCGTGGCGGGGGGAAGACGCTGCACGACATTCCTGCTCGCCGGCCGGCCGGCCCTCCTAGCACGGAGCAGAATGGTATGGAGCAACGGATCAGGCCCAGCGGCATAGGGCCGGCGAACTACCTTTCGCGGCGGCACTTGGTGCTTGCTCCGGCCGCCACCGCGCGGCGCTCGCGTCGTTATGGCTCTGCCCCGGCCGCTGGGCGCCTCTGCCGGCCACTGTGAGGCATGGACCGGGGACGGTTTTTCGGCTGTAAGTCCTAAACCGTTCAAATTAAATGGGTAGAGTAAGCGAGGCGATTGTAGGTCTCAGTCTAAGCTACAATCGGCTCGCTTAGTATACCCCTCTAACTGCAGCGGCCTAGGAGCTAGGACTAAAAAACCATCTCCCGCCGGCAGCCCCAGGCCCCATGGTCCATACTACAATCACAAAAAATATAAAACAATCCAGTTGCTTTCAATAAAACTGCATAATTGCGTCTCGGTATTGCATAGTTTAATTGTTATCAGGACATAAGACCATAACAGTGGCTGCATAGCCTTTTCGATTTAGAAATCAAGAACCTATAGTAATTGACGTAACTTAATTTGTAATGCCTGGCTCAAAAGGTTTGGCAAGCGAGGAAACTGTGGGAACCTAATAAAATTGGCTTCAATTTAATAACTGTGCTTGAAAGCATAAAGTAGCATTATACTCAGATTTTTTGAAAAATTAAAAAATAAAGAATTATTGACGCTTCATGTGCCATCAGGCAATACTTGAAAAGCAAACGTAAAGTCACCTTCTGACTACATCTTTAATGATTTCAGTTTTAAGTCACGACAACTGTACTCATTTGTTTCAAAAGTCTTCATTTTGACTTAAAGGGGGAGGTTCTGGTGAAAATGCTATTTTCTCCTAAATAGTTCCCACTGTGAAAATTTGTTAAAAATTTGATGTCTTATCAAGTATTTATTAAAATTTTTCATTGGGGAGGCACATTCTATGCCCTGAATCCAGTCGCAGACCCTTTTTTCTCCCATTTAGGCTATAACTTAAAAAATCTTCTTGCGCATACTATTTTGTCGTAAAAGGTTGGCTTAGACATTTTTCACTTCTTCGATTCATTTTTTAAAAATGCCGGCATGCCCATCTCAAAATGTCAATTGCATTTTTATTCGCAAGCTTTCTAACCAAGCATTTCACTAAAATTGATCAAAAATGTACAAAATAGACAAATTTTAGGGACTTTTCAGCTTAAAAAGCTAATAATTAATAATATAATGGAAGTTTTGAGCTATGCATGCCGGAATCTTTTGAAAATGAGTCGAAGAAGTGAAAAATGTCAAGGTCAACCTTTTACGACAAAATAGTATGCGCAAGGAGATTTATTAAGATACAGCCAAAATAGGCTCAAAAAGACTCTTCGACGGGGGTTTACAGCCTGGCATGTGCCTTCAAAAGTCAAATTTTAGTCTCCCCAATGAAAAATTTTATATTCCGTACAAATTATGACTGTAGGATCCATTTGGAAAATGGCAAGATTTTCACCAGAACCTCCCCTTAAGCTTTTAACCAGGCATCATAAAGTAAATTCCGTCAAATATCATGACTACTCGATTTCTAAAACAATGTGCATTCCAGCAATTGTAATGACACCATTACGTAAACATATTTTAGCTGAACAATATTCAACCACAATCATGCAATTTAATTAGAAATTAATGGATTGTATAATGTTTTTCTTTATCTCTGGAGAAAAGCATAGACAGGGGCTGGGGCCTGGGGCTGCCGGCGCCGGCGGGAGATGGTTTTTCAGTCCTAGCTCCTAGGCCGCTGCAGTTAGAGGGGTATACTAAGCGAGCCGATTGTAGCTTAGACTGAGACCTACAATCGCCTCGCTTACTCTACCCATTTAATTTGAACGGTTTAGGACTTACAGCCGAAAAACCGTCCCCGGTCCATGCCTCACAGTGGCCGGCAGAGGCGCCCAGCGGCCGGGGCAGAGCCATAACGACGCGAGCGCCGCGCGGTGGCGGCCGGAGCAAGCACCAACTGCCGCCGCGAAAGGTAGTTCGGTTTTCGTGCATAGCTGATCCTCCATACCATTCTGCTCCGTGCTCCTAGTGGCGTGGCTCGCAGTGGCGTGGCGCGCAGTGGCGTGGCGCGCAGTGGCGTGGCTCGCAGTGGCGTGGCGCGCAGTGGCGTGGCGCGCAGTGGCGTGGCGGCCGCGGTAAGTATACCTGCCGGATCTCACCTGGACGGCCTGGACGGGCCGCCGACTACCGCCGCAGCGTTCGCTCCGTTCAACTCGCCGGGCAACTAGAGAATTATAGTGTTCATTACAGGCGGCTGTCCCGGTCGAGCTAAGAGAAGAGCAAGAGGAGCACAAGGTGCATCAGGGCCGCCGGGCCGCCGCTCGCAGGGCCCCGGCCCCAAGGGGCCCGGCCTGGCCTGGCAGGGTCGGCGGGGCGCGGCCGCCGGGGCACCGGCACCGCGGCACAGCGCGGCAAAGCGCGGCACGGCTGTTTTGGAAAACGGCCAAAGCCGCGCCGGAGCGCTCCGCAGTTCGCGGCTTCCCCGACGCGCCTTCTCACCTCCTTGATCAGCAGTGGCCGCTCAGAATTAGCCATACACGGTGGCCGTGCCAAGGCGCCGCTAGAGAGTGCTCTCTCTCTCTCTCTCTCTCTCTCTCTCTCTCTCTCTCTCTCTCTCTCTCTCTCTCTCACAGTCTCACAGAGTGAGACTGGTGCTTCGCGGCGCGCGATTGGCCGCCGAAGACAGCCGAACGGGCGTACCGAGCCGAGCCGAGCGCCTGGCCTGGGCGCGCCAAGGAGGACAAAGCACAATTAATGAGCTGGATAGGGTGGACCTGGTGGATCTCGGGGAGATTAAAGTGGACGAGCGAGCCGGCCAGCCTCGACCCGACTCGTTAATTCCCAGATAGAGGGCAGCACGGGAGCAGCGCGGGGCGGGGCGGGGCGGGGCGGGGCGGGGCAACCCGGTATGGGTGGGTACAGAATGGATTGAAGTGGGCGGTCCCGAAGGTCCCGACGCATCGAACGGCGAGGCAGCAAGGCAGCAGCAAGGCAGGCAAGGCCAAGGGCCTCCTTGAGGAGCACTGACAGCGCGACCCCCTCCACGGCCCTCCTCGGCTGGACCAACGCACGCGAGACGAGCAGCGCCGCACGGCCGCAGTCACGCGCGCGGACTCGCACGCACGCACACACGCGCAGCCTGCGCGCACTGGCCATGTGGTGACACGAAATGTGTGCTGCGATTGGGGCTCTCGACTTACGACGCCGTGCCCGGCCGCGCCGCACGGCCCACCAAGCGCTGCTTCCGAACGGCTTCGTCGCGCTGTCTCTCTCGCGCCCCCACGGAGCGATGCGTGTGGCGAGAGAGACAGAGCGCTTCGGAATGAGCCTTGCAGGCCGCTGGGGCGGGCCGGCCGGCCGAAGGAGGATCGCCTCTCAAACATCGCCAGCACAATTAATTCGATCGGAACCACAGGCCTGCGATTAGGCTGCTGCCGGGCTGAAGGGCCCCGCCCCGCCCCGCTTCCACACTGCGAACAAAGCGGACGTGCGCAAGATTACCTGAATCTCTAGTGTACCAGAACCGACGGACCTACCTGCTGCTAGGTGAAAATGCGTCTACCCCCCCCCCCAAAAAAAAAAAAAATCCTGGAAAATAAAGAACGACTTGATAAAACTGCAGCCCGGAGGGGTGTGGTCTTCCTCTTCTCGCTCCATTAATAAAGAGACATTCGCTTCGTTCCTGACTCAGTGCCACAAACAATAAAAAAAAGTCAAACCCGCAAGCAAAGTCATACCTCAATCCAGAAACAAAAGTCCGTTAAACGTGCAGAAACAACACGAAAACACAAAACGCAACTACCACGAAAGAAACAAACAAAACTGCACACACAAGACACAAACTAGGGAGACGACAAGCTACTCAAACGCACACACACGCACACACAAAACACGCGTCTCGTGTTACCTGGCCGATGCCGGTAGAGGGCGCTCGCCACGGCGTGGCGTCGCAGTCCTGAAATCACCACCAGCATTTTCAGCTCCAGTTTGACAAAACAGACATTCTTTTGACGATTTTTTTCCGATCCTGCCTACAGCTTGTTTGCCAAATTCCGACGCGGAAATGCAACAAAATGACGACGGAGGCTGGCGCACAGTGGGCCAGAAGACCGGTGAGGGCGGCCAACCCTCTAGACGCGTTTTGAGCTCCAGAGTCGCTAAATGGGATTCGAACTGTACGTGTGACCCCACCAATGGATTGCTCTCCGAACGAGGAATCCATTGGTGGGGTCACACGTTCGGTTCGAGTCCCGTTTAGCGACTGTGGAGCTCAAAACGCGTCTAGAGTCTTGGCCGCCTCCTCCTCCGGTCTTCTGGCCCACTGTGCGTCGTTTCTGCGAACGAGAAGTGACGACGACACTACTCCTCTCTTTCTTGGAGTGGTCGAGTGGTCCTACCCCGTCCCATCATGCTTTGGCCAGCTTAGCGAGCATCAGCATCGCAGAGCCAGAGCCAGCGAGCCAGCCAGCCGGCCAGGCGTCCCACGGCCCAACGCCACCAATCGCATCGGATTCCACGTGACTGACCAAGTCGGTCCAGTTAAGTAGAGCCATCTGGACGACTGCAGGCCGAGCAGCGCTCCGGGCCGCCCCACGAGTGCGAGAGAGACAGAGCGCCACAGAGTGTCCGGCCGCGAAGCCCAAGGCGAAGCCTGGCGAAGCCCAGGGCCGTCTTAGGCAAACCGCCAAAACGCAAAGCGCAGATTGGCGGCCTCTCGCTCTCAAAACGCTTCTTTATGAAGGCCGAGGTCGGACTTGGAGGCAGCGAACCGATCGCTAGTGCTAGTGCTATTGGCAGGCACAGCGCAGAGACACTCAAGACGCGTCCGGAGCTGCGGGCGCGCTCCTACACCGCGAAAATTTTCTTGCCACTTTGTAACGTACTACCAGTGGTTGACATTTTTATGACTTTCAAATGATGACAAATTTCATCAACAAATTTTGTCAAAGCTCCTGGCACTTATTGGATTGGCGTGACAACACTATCAATGACTTTGACTTGCTTTGACTTTCTTGAAAGAAAATTTAGCCTTGAAATTGTCATTGAGTGACAGCAAACATTTTAACAGCAAAGATCTCGCGCAGCGTCGATACTCACTGATGCTACAGGTGTCCCCGGCCCAGCCCGGCGCGCAGCTGCAGGTGAAGTAGCCACTGGGGTCGTCGCGGAGGGCGAGCGGCGACACGGTGGCCGCGGCGCCGCCGGGGATCGAAGCCGGGTCCGTGTAGGGGTGCGGCGTGCAGGTGCCGCCGTGCGCGCAGGGCTGCGTGGCGCAGGGGTTGTCCACGATCTCGCAGTTGGGCCCCGAGAAGCCCTCGCCGCACGTGCACAGATACTGGTCCGGCGCCGGGTTCTCGCACGTACCGCCATTCTGGCAGGGCTCGTGGCGCCCGCAGTAGTTCAAGTCTGCCAACAAACAGTTTCCTTTCAACTCGCAAAACATAACTATACAAATGGTTGCACGGGAAGATTTTTGCACGGAGGAAACAATGGTTCGCTATGGAAATGAGGTAAGGTCTCCCCACAAGAAACTCGCTCAAAAAGGGTGCTGCCACGATGCAGTTTTACTTCCATTGCAAATTATTCCTCATAGGAAGTCAAAGAAAATGTCGCTAAATAATGCTTTTTTGTGGCGAGGGTGTCGATAGAGTCACACGCCCGCCAGATCCGTAAAAAAAAACACACACACAATAAAGTGAGCAAAGTGGGCCGGCATCAGGACAATGTTGTTCCCCCTTCCCCCTCCCCTCGCTCTTCATTACAATAATGCCACTAAGGGGACGCACACGACATAGTGTATGCACACACTCGCAAAAAACAACAAATGACTCGCCGTTGTTGCATGCATCCATTCATTGATTCATTCCCCATTCATTCGATCGAGTGAACGAGACGAGACCAGCGTGGGGACTTTCTCATCGTAATTTTCTGCCCTCTTGAACAATACACAATCGTCAAAATGAGGCCGTTCGTCTGTTTACTGTCACTTAATTAATTTTGAAACTGTGACCGACTGTGACCATGAGATGCAGGAACGTCGGACGATTTTTCCACTCAAAATGTGGCCAAATTTCTTTGAATGCAAGGTAACTCCTTGACAGTTCTCTCAGCAAAAGCAGAAATTTCAGAAAAACGCTTTGGTTTCCGCTGGTCGCACCACATCGCGACAGCGTGAAGGGGCCGAAAAAAAAACAACTCTGGGCTCTCATCTCCGGTGATGTAAATCGGAAGGGGACCCCTTGACCTGGCGGCGCAGACACAGTTCAGCATTTCCGATTCGTTTTTTCTTGGCGGTTGGCGATGGCGACGAAGGCACATGCATACTGTACCCTGGGTGTAGACAGACGGGGGAGGGGGAGGAGAATTGCGGATTTTGCACGCAGAAAAATGACAAGAATAAGGAATTGACAAGAATAAAGAAATTGACAAGAATAAGACATTGACAAGAGTAAGAAATTGACAAGAATAAGAAAATAATAACAGTTAGAAAATGACAACAAGGAAATGACGCGTGGCGATTGAGAAACCGCCCTCTCTCGACGAATGCCGAACAAGTGTCCGACGGACTGAGTGGCAAAGTGTGATTGAAGGCCGCGCCATCTGCGCGCCGCCCTCCCGACGCCGACGACGCCGCGCGCCCAACCGGAGCCAAAACGGGTTTAAATTTCAAAGCCATTATATTTCCGAAAAGGGATTGGCTTATTTATTTTCGACGACGCGAGAGGGACGCCGGGGAAGTGTGTGTATGTGAGTGAGTGAGAGGGAGAGAGAGAGAGGGAGGGAGAGAGACAGAGAGAGAGAGAGAGAGAGAGAGAGAGAGAGAGAGAGAGAGAGAGAGAGAGAGAGAGAGAGAGAGAGAGAGAGAGAGAGAGAGAGAGAGAGCGACAGTGACAAACCGCTGCTCGCTGGACCGGCAAAAGGGGAGCGACATGTGTGTTGCTTTTTAATTCGGTGGCCAGCGCGGCTAAAAACGAGGGTGTCTTTCTCCTCAACAAGTAGCGCCTCGCTGGATGTCGGGCAGTGCCTTCGTCGCTCTGTCTCTCTCGCGCTTACAGGGGGGTTGCACTGTGAGTGCGAGAGAGACAGCGAGAAGAAAGCTCTCGCGGTCGCTTCCCCTCCCCACAAAGCAGCAGTCACCCCTCGTGGAGCAAACCACAGATGATGGAGGGGGTAGGGATGCAAAAATACCGGTAAGATTCAAAGTTACCTAAAATACGGTAAAATACGGTATTTTACCGTATTATACGGTAAAATTGGGTAAAATTGATTTTTCTTGACTTTAAGGGGTAATTCTGGTACCTCTTGTGAAAATAGGGGGAAAAAAGGTACGTTTGGGTGAGGGTGTATCGGTAAAATCGTTTCATACTACTTCCAAGCCAACATGACTTAAGAACAATGAAGCATTTGAAAGACAAGGACCAAAACTGTGGGGTTAAAGATATGAATATTATCGACTTACTGACCCCTCCCCTAATGTCTGAGGATTTTCCCCTTTTTTGTAAAAAAATTTTTGATTCTGCTGGTTCTATTGACCGTAAATTAACAGCCCAAATATACTGAAGTGCAAAAATGTTACCTTTTTATCGTTGTCCATGTAATTTGGCTAAATTTCATGAAAACTCTTTTCCTGAAAGGCATCCGCGACCCCATGGGCCCAAATCATGTCAAGTTTATTGCTTTTTTTCAGCTCGAATAACTAACAAGTATCTACCCACTTCTTCCTTTTTTTCTGTTTAAAGTTATTTTACTTTATATTATTTGGCAACAAAGAAGTTTCGGGTTTTGGCTCGGTGTTAAATTTAGTTTCCACAAGTTTTGCAAAAGAAGAGAATATTGACTTTTTGCTTTGTTTTAAGTGCCCGGATGATGTCTTCCCGTACATGGGGCAGCGCGAGGGGCAGATAAAAACCAAGAGTTCCCAAGAGGCGCTGTTTTCAGTCCCTGCGCCCTAATATCGTGTGGAAGCAAAAGAAGGGCAAATAAGTCAATATTTCAAAATTCCCGAAAAATACCAATTTTACCGGGGTCTCCGTAAAATACCGTATTTTACCGTATTATACCGTTCTTTACCGGTAATATTACCGGCCTTTACATCCCTAGGAGGGGGAGTCGGGACTCGGGGTGGAGGGAGCGAGAGCGAGAGAGACGGAGCGAGAGGGAGTGACACCTGGCGCGGCGAGCACAGCGCGACAAGTGGGGGAAGGAGGGAACCGGTTCGCGGGGTGCCTTGTCTGTGTGCTCTGGGACGCGTGCCGCGGGGGCGGCGCGGCGCCGCGTGCGACACTGCTGACCGTCTCTCTCGCACCCCCTCGGCACACCGTGAGAGTGCGAGAGAGACAGAGCGACCGAGTCGCACAGTGCTGCTAGCCCACATGGCCACTCGAATCGAACCAATATTATTCTTCCGGCGACGTCCTTGTACAGCACACTGCACTCACCTTGGTCGCAGAGGATTCCGCCCCAGTTGGTGTCGCAGATGCACTCCCACGGGTGGCCGTTGCAGTAGCCGTGCTTGCAGCCCGGGTACGGCGTGCACTGGTCGCAGAACTCGCCCTGCCAGCCGGGCCGGCACCTGGAAGCAGACACCAAGTTCGCATCACCACGCACTGCGAGACAGTTTCACAGAGTTTCACCATTCCGCACGCAGTTTTACAGCTTTTTACGGCGGCTCGGAAGATGAATAGCAATCACCGTCCACATCCACAGCTATTTTTCATATCACCGTCCACGTCCACAGCTATTTTTCATATCACCGTCCACGTCCACAGCTATTTTTCATAGCGGCTATGTTTTTGTTTGGGGATGTGGTTATGGGCAGATTCGGTAGCTATTCGCAGTCACACGTCGTGCGCGTAACATGTAAACGGTCACCGGTTGCCGCCCTTTTGTGCTGGTTCTGTGTCAATATTTCGAAGGTTTTCTCCAGTTTCGAGCGAACAGATTCGTGAGTGCGCGAAGTTTGTTTTTCATCATTCAAGCTGCTGTAAAACTGCGTGTGAAAGTTCACTAACTCTCAACATCTAGTGCTCTGGTGGACCAAGTTGTACAGCACACAATGGTTTGAAGACAATCTCTATAGGACTACTCAACCGCCCCAACCTGTCTTCAAATTTCTTCAGAGCTGCAGTGCCGCTGTGATTAGGGTAAGTGCAATCTGACTTCAAGGATTCTGAATGTGAGCGACTCTGCTTTGTGAATGAGGCGTTCCTTTGTTTGAGAGCGGAACAAGTGCTGTTACTTTTGAGAGAGCTCAGTGGGTCAGACAACAATCACCGGTAATCAGAAATTTTCATTATTAAATTTATCTATTTTCCCATGAATCGACACATTGCCTAGGCTGTAATTTTTGGGTCATATTTTTTCAAGACAGCAGGAAAGCCTTGCCATTGTGAAGCGAAACATTTGTATCTGAACTCAATGTGGCAGGACATGAAAGTATCGTTTAAATGTGTCGAGACTTTTTGTCTGGTCTCTCCAGAGAGGCGGAGAAGTCTGATCTATGGATTTGTTGTGGCGCAAGTCCTAAACTTGACTAAAACCCCAACTCAAGATGTCGTTTTGCAACCGTTTGCCAAATAGACGCCTAAATTCTTGAATTGAAATTTTTTTGTGAGCTGAGCGCACTTTGATGTGACCTCAAGCTTCCTTTGGGTACTGCCCGGTGGCTGCCCTAGCCGCACCCCCGCCGGGCCGAAAGCGGAAACGAATAAAAGCAGATGATATCTTGAAATTTAGTGCGGCCCTAGCAGTGGCGTGGCATGGCGCGACGTGGCGGTGCCGCCCTGCCCGCAGGACGGGGCACTGGAAGCACACGCTTTTATTCGCGTCGTTAAAAGTGCGGAGCAGGATGAGTGCGTTAAGCGCCGCGGTAGCGTCTTATTACTTTACGGCGTCGTAACGACTAGTTTCGGACGCGACGCGACGCGGCTTTTGGCGAGCGGCTAGAGGGAGACGGAGATGTCACAGCCCGCCTGCCGCGGTGGGAGCGCGCGCGGCCTGCAGGGTGATTCCGAACGGCGGCGCTTTCGTCGCTCTGTCTCTCTCGCGCCTCGCACGAGCAGTGCGAGTGCGAGGGAGAGAGAGAGAGGGATCGGCTCTGCAGGGAAATATGTACGGCGGTAATTAGTAGTGTAGTCTCGGGTGGCCGGCTCCCGGACGGGCCGAGGCGGCCGACCCAGGCGGTCGGACCACAACAATTTACATCGAAATTTTTCTTCCCATTTCTCGTGCCGGGCAGCGGAAGTGCCTCACCGTGGAAGACGACGACACGCACCTCTCCCTCACGCAGGCTCGCCGGCCGGGTGACTATCTCTATGCAAAGCGCTCACTTTTACAATTAGAGCCGTTTTCATGGCCCGGGCCCCGCCGCCCATTTATTTACAATTTTTGAAGCTCGCGCCTCTCTGCCTTCGCCGCCACGGCCTCCGCGGCCGCCGCCACGCCGCCACGCCGCCACGCCCCCCGCTGGGCGCCGTTTTCGACAGGCGGCTTGGCCTCAACGGTCCCGGGGAGTCCCGAGGGGGGCGAGGGCCACGGCGAGGGCCAGGGCCCCGACGCGCGGTGTATCACAACACATTTCATCCTGTTTCCCCCCGAAACTCCGAAAGCAACGGCCTCGCTTCCCTCACTTTAAAAAAAATCTGAAAATTCAGCCACTTTTGTCAGACTGGTGGTCGAATCTATTTTTCAGACTTGTTTCAGACTGTGTCTGAAAATTTGCCTTCCGGTATGAAATTGCGACCTGATCGTCTCAGAACCTGAATTCAGACCAGCGCAGTCTGAAAATTTAGATGTAATCTAAATTCAGACCACCCAAGATTCGTTTGTCCGCTAGATGGCGCGCATGTTGTGGACACACTACTCTGTTAAAAGGCTTCTAATGTGAAAATATATGGTTGAAAAGTTCCAAATTGATAGGACTTAATCGGCCATATGAGAACCATTCTCTGCCGCAAGATTTATCTCCTAATATGGTGGAAGTTGAACAATCCACATTCAAATTACCTCTCGCGGGTGGCTCCGTGTCGCCTTTCCTTGGGTGCCACAGGCCGGCCTCTCGAAAGTCAGGGAAAAGGACAGAGGACCTTCTCCCTCAATCACAATTTTTACTCAATGTTGTCCTCTGGAGGTTCACACACACGAGATTCTTTCTATGTAATTGAATATGTCACGAACCTTAAAGTTCACTTTCTACAAGGACTGAATTTTCAGACCACCAAACTCTTAAATGTAAGACTCTCGAGTTCTGAATTTTCAGACCATCTAAATGGTCTGAACTTTCAGCCTCAAGTCTGTAATAACTTCTTACCAATTTGGTCTGAATTTTCAGACTTTTTTTTAACAGTGCTCCAAAGGACACCAAAGCGTCGCCGCCGCGGCGCGGACTCGACCGGCAGGCGCGGATCAAGGGGGGACGGGGAGGGGGGGGGGCCTCCAGCTGAAGGCGGTGGAGGCCAAAAAGTGCCCCCAAAAAAGACAATTTTTACTAAATCTTCCCTGAATTCGGAGACCTAGAACTCGACGCGTGTACCCGCCTTGTCTTCTTTTGGGCGCTGGCCCGCCAGGCCCGCCGGCGGTCCGCCAGCCAGCCACGGAAACAGGAATTAGCCGCGCCCCCCGAGGAAGTGCTGCGCGACGAGGCCGCGGGTGGTCCGACGCGAGCCGAGGCCGGGACGCCGGAACGCCGGAACCACGACGACCCGAACCCAACCACCCCCCGCGCCCGGAAACGCCGCCAACGGGCCTCTGCATCCGGGGGTCGAGCACCGGTTTGGTACGCAAAGTTTTCTTCCCTCGGCGAAAAAACACGAAAATCTGGTAGAAATACTCACTCGCAGTCCCCGGGCACGTCGCACTTGCCGTGGCTGGGATGGCAGCCCGCCTTGCACACAGCTGCAACACAGGTCGGGAAATCAATACAAACGTAAAATAGAACCGCCACACTAAAAAAAAAAAAAATACAGCCTTCGGTGGATTAAGCGAGCCGAACAAGGGACTGACTTCTCGGGATGGAGAAATTCCAGGCGACGGACACTTTGATTAATAATGCAGCTTCTAATGAACTGGCAATTTTTTTTTCTTGTGCAACAAGTGCGCGCTGCTAGTCGGGCCGATCTGATCCGAGGGTAGCGATCGCTGGCGACAGGCCGCCGCGCCGCTGCCCCGCGGAACCGCGGAATGCAACGAAGGCCATTGACGTTTGGACCGATTCGCGCAATAAAATGTTAGTTTATACGGCGACGCGCGCGAGTCCCGCCAGAGCAGGGGCCGTGCGACTGCGCACCGAACGCGTCCGAAAAGAATGAACGAAAAGCAGTGCTCTGGCGGAAAAACAAATTTAACAATTTGAATTACGTTAACACCTGCTGTCCAAATAAAAACCATAAGTTGGTTCTAATTCCGCTAACGATTAATTACGCTCGAAATAGAGTGCGCGGCGCGGGAGTAATTGATTGAGCCGCCGAGGCGGTGAGTCAGTCATCCGCGGAGCAGACGACCTGGCCGCGGAGTCGCGTCACCACTCTTTTTGTGCGCGTTCCGTTCCGTTTTGCATAAATGCCTGTTATTGCAACAACACGTCGCGGTGTACAGTGTACTCACCGATCTCGCAGTTGGCGCCCATCCAGCCCGCGATGCACACTTTGTCGCCGTTCGGGTCGCAGGTGTAGTGGCCGAACTTGTCGTCGCGCGGCCGGCAGAACTTGGTGCAGGTGGCGTTGAAGTAGTGCATGTCGCACTGCACCCGCACGCGGTACCGCAGCCACGCCACGGGCCCGCGGAACGTGAGCGGGTGCCACTCGGGCGACGGCAGAATGATGCCCGAGTAGGAGGCCTCCTCGATCACCTGCTCCAGGCCTGGCGGACAGAGAGAGACATTCAGGAACAAGAATCACCATGCATTGCATAGCGAGGCTGACTCCAAACAGAGTTTTCGCCACTGGTATTCAACGACTGTGACGTCATATGCTTTAGAGCAGTGGTTCTCAACCTTAGGAAAAAATTTTAAGGGGTCGCGGCGAGGTAGCTGGGGTCGTGTTTTGGGCCGATTTTAAGCAGCCACTGCGTCTGATCCGAGGCGGGCATTTTGCTCCCTCAACCGGCAATTGGTCTTTGAACCTTCCTTTAGCATGCCTTTGTTACGGAGTGTGATTATCAGTCTTAGTTTGGGAGCAGTATTGTCTCAAAGTTTACCAAAACGGTCAGAAATGTCTTTGAAAAATCGTGTTTTGGGCCTATTTTAAGCAGCCACTGCGTCTGACCCGAGGCGGTATTTCGTCCTCCTTCAACGGCAATTTGGTCTTTGGACCCTCTTTTAGCATGCCTTGTTACGGAGTGTGATTATCAGTCTTAGTTTGGGAGCAGTATTGTCTCAAAGTTGGCCGAAACGCTCAGAAATGTCTTTGAAAAATCGTTGTGCCTGTTTTGGTCAACTTTGAGACAATACTGCTCCCAAACTAAGACTGATAATCGCATTCCGTAACAGAGGCATGCTAAAGGAAGGTCCAAAGAACAATTGCCCGTTGAGGGAGCAAAATGCCCGCCTCTGATCAGACGCAGTGGCTGCTTAAAATCGACCCAAAACAAGATTTTTTTAAGACATTTCTGAGCGTTTTGGCCAACTTTGAGACAATACTGCTCCCAAACTAAGACTGATAATCGCATTCCGTAACAGAGGCATGCTAAAGGAAGGTCCAAAGAACAATTGCCCGTTGAGGGAGCAAAATGCCCGCCTCGGATCAGACGCAGTGGCTGCTTAAAATCGACCCAAAACAAGATTTTTTTAAGACATTTCTGAGCGTTTTGGCCAACTTTGAGACAATACTGCTCCCAAACTAAGACTGATAATCGCACTTCGTAACAGAGGCTTGCTAAAGGAAGGTCCAAAGACCAATTGCCCGGTGAGGGAGCAAAATGCCCGCCTCGGATCAGACGCAGTGGCATGCTAAAGGAGGGGTCCCGTGAGGTCGCGAAACTTTTCCTGGGGGTCGCGGAAATTTTTGGCTACAAATTTGGGGTCGCGAGCCGAGAAAGGTTGAGAACCGCTGCTTTAGAGCGTGCATTTTGTTACGTTCATGGGTCCGAATCAAGCGTACTGAAGTCGTCAAACACCCACAATACAGAAAAAAGACACAACTAGCAGGAGAAGGGGAAAAAAGGGGCAAAGAATAAAAAATAACTAGCGCACATAAGTTGTTATAAAGAGACTACTTGTCTAGTGCCCACAACTCCTTCGAGTACAACCTTCTCATACTCGCAATAAAAGCAAAGGGAAAAGCTTCAAGGGCCGCCGACCGTGGCAGCGGTCAGTGGCGGCTAAACAGCTCCACGGCATTTCTTTTTTCCATTTATTCCTTTAGGCTAATGATACCTATTATTAATGATTACACCATGTTTTCGGCTATGCATCACACAGCCATCACGCTATTTCGTCCAACAGGCCAAGCGAAAGTGCGTCATTTTTTTGGTGTTTTCCCCTTTTCTTTTTTTTTTTTGCTGTACTTGCAAGCCGCCGGACGCTCCGCACCCGTCCTTTTTCATCCACCTTCCCTCTCCCCGCCCCCTTGTCCAGCATTATTCCTCTCCGTTATTGTCGTTTAATTTAAGTAAGGCCCAAACCAAGTTTTTACTTCCTTATCACATTATATCTCCCCCTCCCCCCTCCCCTCTGCCACCTCTTCCTCCTCCTCCTCCTCCTCCTCCTCCTCCTCCTCCTCCTCCTCCTCCTCCTCCCCCCTCTCCTTCCCCCCTCTCCTTCCCCCCTCTCCTCCCCCCCTCCAGCGGCCCCGGACGCGCCGCGCGTAGATTGATGATGACAAGCAAATCAACTCCGACAGGTGGAACGGCCGTCCGGGCGGACAGGGCGGCGCGGCGTCCGCCGGTTCGGTTTGTTTACTTTACACAGTGGCGCCCGATTTTTATTCTCGAGAACTTGTCTGGCCTAGCACCGCGGACAGGAATGACGGCCTCGTTGTCCTGCCCGACGTGCTCGACGGCGTCCTGGCGGGGGCCGAGGCCGTCCTCTCGACGTGCTCGACGGCGTCCTGGCCGGCCCGAGGCCGTGCTCTCCTCGCCCTCTTGCTCGACGGCATCCTGGTCCGGGCCGAGGCCGATCTCGACGTGTTCGATAGCCATCGGCCCCGATCGGGCGGTCCACTCCACCCACACGGCCGCCGTCTTTTCCGTGAAAATTAATTTATTTTAAATTGGATCGAAAAATGGTCGGGAATTCGCCGCGTCGGAAATGAGCCGCCATAAATTCAGCAGCGCGAACGCGTCCAAGTCGAACCCGCCCCGCCCCGCCCCTGTCCGCGGGCAAGATGCCTTTCGAAATTGCAAATGCTCGGCGCCATACGATGGGCCCCATATTCGCAGCCCCGGTCCAATCGAACCCGCCCCTGTCCGGGAAGTAAAAGTTTCGAAATTCCCTTTTTTTCCCCGTGCTCCGAACGCGTCCGAAAAAAAATGAACAAAAAAGCAGTGCTCTGGCGGAAAAAAAAATTTAACAATTTGAATTACTTTAAACACCTCTGAAAAAATAAAAACCATAAGTTGGTTCTAATTCCGCTAACGATTAATTACGCTCGAAATAGAGTGGGGCGGCGGGGGAGTAATTGATTGAGCCGCCGAGGCGGTAGTCAGTCATCCGGGGAGCAGACGACCTGGCCGCGGAGTCGCGTCACCACTCTTTTTTGTGCGCGTTCCGTTCCGTTTTGCATAAATGCCTGTTATTGCAAAAACACGTCGCGGTGTACAGTGTACTCACCGATCTCGCAGTTGGCGCCCATCCCCCGCGATGCACATTTTGTCGCCGTTCGGGTCGCAGGTGTAGTGGCCAAAACTTGTCGTCGCGCGGCCGGCAGAACTTGGTGCAGGTGGCGTTGAAGTAGTGCATGTCGCACTGCACCCGCACGGGGTACCGCAGCCACGCCAGGGGCCCCCGCGGAACGTGAGCGGGTGCCACTCGGGCGACGGCAGAATGATGCCCGAGTAGGAGGCCTCCTCGATCACCTGCTCCAGGCCTGGCGGACAGAGAGAGACTTTCAGGAACAAGAATCACCATGCATTGCATAGCGGGGCCTGACCCCAAAACAGAGTTTTCGCCACTGGTATTCAACGACTGTGACGTCATATGCTTTAGAGCAGGGGTTCTCAACCTTAGGAAAAATTTTAAGGGGTCGCGGCGAGGTAGCTGGGGTCGTGTTTTGGGCCGATTTTAAGCAGCCACTGCGTCTGATCCGGGGCGGGCATTTTGCTCCCTCAACCGGCAATTGGTCTTTGAACCTTCCTTTAGCATGCCTTTGTTACGGAGTGTGATTATCAGTCTTAGTTTGGGAGCAGTATTGTCTAAAAGTTTCCAAAACGGTCAAAATGTCTTTGAAAAATCGTGTTTTGGGCCTTTTTTAAAGCAGCCACTGCGTCTGACCCGAGGCGGTATTTCGTCCTCCTTCAACGGAAATTTTGGTTTTTGGACCCTCTTTTAGCATGCCTTTTTTTACGGAGTGTGATTATCAGTCTTAGTTTGGGAGCAGTATTGTCTCAAAGTTGGCCGAAACGCTCAGAAATGTCTTTGAAAAATCGTTGTGCCTTTTTTTGGTCAATTTTGAGACAATCCCTGCTCCCAAACTAAGACTGATAATCGCATTCCGTAACAGAGGCATGCAAAAGGAAGGTCCAAAGAACAATTGCCCGTTGAGGGAGCAAAATGCCCGCCTCTGATCAGACGCAGTGGCTGTTTAAAAATCGACCCAAAAAAGATTTTTTTTAAGACATTTCTGAGCGTTTTGGCCAACTTTGAGACAATACTGCTCCCAACTAAGACTGATAATCGCATTCCGTAACAGAGGCATGCAAAAGGAAGGTCCAAAGAACAATTGCCCGTTGAGGGAGCAAAATCCCCGCCTCGGATCAGACGCAGTGGCTGCTTAAAATCGACCCAAAACAAGATTTTTTTAAGACATTTCTGAGCGTTTTGGCCAACTTTGAGACAATACTGCTCCCAAACTAAGACTGATAATCGCACTTCGAAACAGGGCTTGCTAAAGGAAGGTCCAAAGACCAATTGCCCGGTGAGGGACCCAAAATGCCCGCCTCGGATCAGACGCAGGGGGCATGCAAAAGGGGGGGCCCCCGTGAGGTCGCGAAACTTTTCCTGGGGGCCCGCGGAATTTTTGGCTAAAAATTTTGGGGGTCGCGAGCCGAAAAAGGGTTGAGAACCGCTGCTTTAGAGCGTGCATTTTGTTACTTCATGGGTCCGAATAAACGTACTGAAGTCGTCAAACACCCACAATACAGAAAAAAGACACAACTAGCAAAAGGGGGGAAAAAAGGGGGCAAAGAATAAAAAATAACTAGCCACATAAGTTTTTATAAAAAACTACTTGTCTAGTGCCCACAACTCCTTCGAGTACAACCTTCTCATACTCGCAATAAAAGCAAAGGGAAAAGCTTCAAGGGCCGCCGACCGTGGCAGCGGTCAGTGGCGGCTAAACAGCTCCACGGCATTTTTTTTTTCCATTTATTCCTTTAGGCTAATGATACCTATTATTAATGATTACACCATTTTTTTCGGCTATGCATCACACAGCCATCACGCTATTTCGTCCAACAGGCCAAGCGAAAGTGCGTCATTTTTTGGTGTTTTCCCCTTTTTTTTTTTTTTTTTTGCTGTACTTGCAAGCCGCCGGACGCTCCGCACCCGCCCTTTTTTCATCCACCTTCCCTCTCCCCCGCCCCCTTGTCCAGCATTTTTTCCTCTCCGTTATTGTCGTTTAATTTAAGTAACCCCCAAACCAAGTTTTTACTTCCTTATCACATTATATCTCCCCCCTCCCCCCTCCCCCTCCTGCCACCTCTTCCTCCTCCCCCTCCCCCCCCCTCCTCCTCCTCCTCCTCCTCCTCCTCCCCTCCCCCCTCCCCTTTCCCCCCCTCTCCTTCCCCCCTCTCCTCCCCCCCTCCCGGCCCCGGACGCGCCGCGCGTAGATTGATGATGACAAGCAAATCAACTCCGACAGGTGGAACGGCCGCCCGGGGGGACAGGGCGGCGCGGCGTCCGCCGGTTCGGTTTGTTTACTTTACAAAAGTGGCGCCCGATTTTTATTCTCGAGAACTTGTCTGGCCTAGCACCGCGGACAGGAATGACGGCCTCTTTTGTCCTGCCCGACGTGCTCGACGGCGTCCTGGGGGGGGCCGAGGCCGTCCTCTGTGCTCGACGGCGTCCTGGCCGGCCCGAGGCCGTGCTCTCCTCGCCCTCTTGCTCGACGGCACCCTTTTGGTCCGGGCCGAGGCCGATCTGGGACGTGTTCGATAGCCATCGGCCCCGATCGGGCGGTCCACTCCACCCACACGGCCGCCGTCTTTTCCGTGAAAATTAATTTATTTTAAATTGGATCGAAAAATGGTCGGGAATTCGCCGCGTCGGAAATGAGCCGCCATAAATTCAGCAGCGCGAACGCGTCCAAGTCGAACCCGCCCCGCCCCGCCCCTGTCCGCGGGCAAGATGCCTTTCCGAGAATCAGCCAATCAGGCTGCAGCGCCGCGCCATTACATCGGCCGGTCGCGTTGCTTGCGACACTCCGCGCCACTCGATCCCGGCGGCGCGGCTGCTCGCACTCCGTGAAACAAATTTTATCAAATTAACTTTCTCCTTTCTTTCATTCCCCGTTGACGGCGGCCTTATGCCCTCCCGGCCGCGGCTCAGTTTACTTGCGCGGGCCCTGCGCTGCACCGCAGTGCACCGCACCCAGCACCGCCCTGTACTCAGATGAGGCGCCGACCCCGGGGGGCGGCGGTCAGCACTCAGTACCACAGTACCTGCAACAGCCTGCGGGACGTCTCCGGACCATCGTCGCTCTGTCTCTCTCGCACCCCTTCGGAACGCCCCGCGAGCGCGAGAGAGACAGAGCGCCGTTCGGAAGCGAGCCCGCTGTGCACTCGAGAAGGGGAAACGTATAAACTGAACCAGACGACCCTGCCGCTGGCGCACCGAAAGAACTCGCGTCCTGGTTCGGCTCGTGGCACTTACACTGCACCCACCAAAAGGTGGGCCTCGTTGCTCCCATCGCGTCGCGCTTTTGACACATGCCCTTGCGTCCTTGGCCCACCTTGGCCTCGAGGCTCGAACGCGGCCGAGCCCTTGGGGCTCCCTTCGGATGCAGCGCGGCGTTTGAAAGGGCACGGTGCGGCCGCGGCCTGACGGGGCCTGACCAGGAAGGCCCTTTGGCCTCGCCGACCGCAAGGAGTGACTCACTGCCGTGGCTTTGGGAAGGGGGGGGTGTGTTATGGGCGCATAATTGTGTCGGGATGTTGCGTCCTTCGGATGCCTTCGGGTGGCTTCGGGTGGCTTTCGGGTTTCACTCCGATGCGCTGATGCATTCTCGTCCCGAAAATTCTTCCAACGACATGCAAAAAAAAAACGTGCCACACTGCCATGCGGTAACGCCCCGAAAATCCAACAACAACAACTTGGCATCCAGACGGGAGGGACAAAAACAACAACAACACAATCCACGTCGTAGGAGGATGATGACTCACCTGGGTCACTGTAATTGCCCAGGTCCAGTGCCTGCAGAATCAGCGTAAAGGATCTCTGCAACAGAAAGAGAAAGAGACACGTTAGATCACATTGCCAGGATGCGTCCACTCGCTCACTCAGTCACTCTCACATCATGCGGCACTGTGTAGGCTGAAGAGGGAGGGGGGAGGGGGAAGCCCCCGCACAAACACAGACAGAGCCTCAAACACACACAACATTGTTGAGAAGAAGACGCTGGCAAACAGAGCAAGGATGCTCGACGCTGCAAGTCACATTTCCGAGAATAGCGTTACACTTTTCAAGATCCGTCTTTGAAACCTCACGACGAGGCGTCACTCGTGTCTTTTGAGGTGATTTCTATCCTTTCCCACGTCAACTTTAAATTTCTAGCTGAAATAGTTTTTCTATCCTTCAGGTGCAAAGTGCTTGAGTCCTTGAGTGGGCAGCTTATCCTTTTTCTGGGCGAAGCGCGCGATCCCCTTGTGGGGCGCATCTTACAGGTGCTAGCGCGCGGGGTACCCACCCCGCCCCGCCCCGCCCCCGCGCGACAAGCAACGAGCGGCGATCGCGGTGCACTCAAGCACACTACTTATTGGCAATTTGCCGGGGCAACGCGGCCTGCGCAGTGGAGCGGTACCAACCATGTTGCGGCCCCGCCCCGCCCCGCCACGATCCAGGGGCGTTTAGCGCGCAGCCCCGCCACACACCCCGACCGTAATAACAGTTTTAACCAATTTTATAATCACACGGCCAACAGAAGGCCTCACGATAAAGGGACTGCGGCGCGATTATGATGACCCAGCCCTGCCCCCCCCGTTTTTTTCTCTTTTCCCCTCCCCCTCTCTCTCTCCCCTCCTTTTTCCCTCTCTCTCTCTCTCTCTCTCTCTCTCTCTCTCTCTCTCTCAGGCCATTGCGCCGCTCGGGAAAAAACGCTGCATAACGCGTCGGTGGCGACCGGACGCGCAATCTGCCCCGATTTCGGCTAAAATCAAAATCGTGCCAAAAGGTAGCCAAATTGAGCGAGGGCCCCAAAGGGGGTCCAATCTCGTCGAGGCCGCTCCGGGCTCGGGCGCGAGGATGCACTGGTGCAGCTGCAAGCCAATGCACTGGTTAAATGTTGGTGCTGACGATGCGTGTGTGTGCGTGTGTGTGCGTGTGTGTGTGTGCGTGTGTGCATGTGTGATCCGTAGAAAGAAAGACACAGAGGTGTGACTACACTAATTGTCCATCCATACTCACCCAGCCGCCCGACGCAGCTTAGTTAGCGCCCCGCCCCGCCTCGCCCCGCCGCGGAGGCTGTGGGTTGCAGCAGCAGGTTGTACTAGTAAACGCGTGTTGCAGGCTGCCCGCTCCATTCCAGCACATCGCGGCGCGGCACTAGCTTCACAGAGACCACTTTTTTAAAGGACGCCGGACACACACACACGCACGCAGAGTTCTCGCACTCACACACTCGGGGATGAATTTCAATGACTGTGTGTGGTTCTCGCGACGCTCCACTGTAAAGCTCGGCGCCGTAATTAGTTCTTAATCCAACCTGTTCTCCCTCTTTCTCTCTCACTCTCCTTTTTTTCTCAGCTCCTTTTTTCTCTCTCTACGGCGCCGCGCGGAGCCTTTAGGGGCCGTGTTGTTGCTGTCCAGAGCGCCGCGCTTATAATTAATTAAGAGCAACTCTTTTTCTCCCTGCTGATTTTCTTCCTTTTTTTTTGGTTCGTAATCCGCTTTGATCGCAAACACGTTGAAATGTTGATCCGTTTAGGTTCTGGTGGCGTAGACCGACCGGCCGGAGAGTTGCGGTGCTACTCAACCCGCGTAGGCGGCTCTATCTGCATCACACCGCCCCGTCCTTTTGCAGTGCAGGCGTCCTTTTACAGCGCAGTGACTAATGCGGAGAGCGACCGGGAAAAACAAGGAACCCCAAGGCTGCACCGCGCACCAACCCCGTTTCCATTTGTCGCATAGAGTTCTTGTCAATGACGGCGAAATTAGCGGTCCAGCGTCAAAACTCTTCGACGGTAGGGACCGGCCTGCGGCAGGGCGCTGCAGTCAGTCGGAGATTGACGGAGAGGGTTCTCGGTACTCGGCGTCACCCGATCCGCGGCCAGGGCCTCGGGCGGCGCACTGTGAAGTGGCGTTTGGGACGTGCGCGAGTACGTCGCCATTTCAAAACCGGCCGCGAGATGGCAGGAAGTCAACAAGGTGGTCGTGTGTCGCTTACGCTCGCTAGAGCAGAGCGCCCCGCCCCCTTTCCCCCCCACTCCCTCTCTCCCGCGCCTCGCGTATGACAGATCTCGCCGCTAACTTGAGACGGCCGCACCGCGCCAACACACTGCAACACACCGACGACTCGAACTAGTCAGTCAGCAAGATGCCACATGCCTCACGCCGGGGCAGCGTGGCTCGTTTCCCACGTGCTCCACCCAGCCCCGCCCCCCCCCGCCCCGCCCATGGTGCGCTCCCCCGCGGACGCTGCCGGGGGTCACGCTGGCCGTTGGTCCATATACCACGCCACGCCGCCGCGCCTGACTCCGCGACGTCGCAGTATTTCTCGCGCGGGGCGTGGACCAGTGGCCCGTCGCGCTGTCTCTCTCGCACCCCAACGGGCTTCCCCGCGAGTGCGAGAGAGACGGAGCGACGCGGAGTGCTGCCGCCTTTCGTTTCCATAAACTCCCCCTTCTGGGCGTTTGAGGTCACCACCGAAATGGGGACCCTCATCATCATATCCAGGCTGTCCAGAGCGCTGCCCGGCAGTCCCAGCCGCGGAGCGCGCCCCCCGCCGTGACAGGTGACGTGACGGGGGCAGCCGCCTGCGCGTGACGACACGTGACGAGACGTGACGAGACGTGGCGGCTCCGAATGAATCTCCGAGGATTACCTCGGCGGCCCCTCGAGTCGAATCTCGCTGGCGTTCCGGTTCGCTCTGCGACAGCCGAGCCACTCCGAAGGATCCTTTGGTCGCTCCGTCTCTGTCGCGCTCGCGGGGCGCCGGGTGAGGGTGCGAGAGAGACGGAGCGAACGGCTCGGCAGGATGTTGATCTAGATGGCCGGCTGTGCTGCTCTGCTGTTCCAGCCCCTGGCTCGTCCTTTCTTCACGCTCCCTCGGGAACACTTTTATCATTTTATTATTTGTTTTCCCCCCTTTCCCCGCGCTCCCAGTCTTTATACATTCCCATCACGCGAGCACAAATTGAACAAGTTTTTGTGGGGCCTTACCCTACACTGCCCTCGGCTCGCCTCGGCCGGAGTGAAAAATCCCGTGCCGGCGTGCGCGGAGCGGAGTGAGAAATACACCTGTCGGGCCGATCTAGTTGGCGAATGGGATGAAAAGTGTGCCGGGGGAACGCCGCGGACCTGCCGCCGAGCGTGCCGTCTCTCTCGCACATCTACGGCGCGTCCCACGAGTGCGAGAGAGACAGAGGGTCTGAAAGAGCGCGCGCACCGCTCGCTCCAGGCGCGCTGCGACGTAAGCCGGCTGTCGGAAAAGCGGGCCGCACCGACCAGGAATCGAACCCGAGTCTCTCTGCGCCGGAGGCTGCGTCGCTGCGCGCTCGGCCACCCGCGCACCTGCAATAGGCCCCCAAGGCGCCCCGCCCATAAAGCATCGACGGGCGTTGCGCCGCGTTGCGCGCGGACGGCCTGAAAAGTGCTCCCACGGCGGCCCCGCCGAGGTACAGTGGGCCAGAAAACTGGTGGAGGCGGCCAAAACTCTAGACGCGTTTTGAGCTCCAGAGTCGCTAAACCGGACTCTAATCGAACGTGTGACCCCTCCAGTGGATTGCTCTCCGAACGAGGAATCCATTGGTGGGGTCACACGTTCGGTTCGAGTCCCATTCAGCGACTCTGGAGCTCAAAACGCGTCTAGAGTTTTGGCCGCCTTAACCGGTCTTCTGGCCCACTGTGAGCCGCCCAGCCCAGCGCGGGCTTTTGCTCGGATCTCCACCTGGGGTGCGTTCGAGAACTCCACCCGGGGGGAAGGTGGTAGTGGGGGTAGAGTGACGCGGAGGAAGGCAGGGGGCACCCGAGTTTCCGAACGGCTGTGGAGGGAACCCTGATGTCGTCTGCTATGTTAAGGTTATGGTAGCACTTACTGTTGCTGCCGTTTGACAAAAGATGAAGTTTTTAAACCTTCAATCATATGGTTGCCACACTACAGGGTGAGTTTTCTCAATGTGTCAATAATTTGTAGGTAGTTTGGGCACCCCAAGGGGATCATTTTCTACCAATGAACTAGTGGGCGCAAACGTCTAGGTACGGAGATAATTGCTGTTTTGTAATTGGCCTTCGCGCCTGCGAGATAGGCACCCGCTGCCACTGATGGGCGCAGGACCTCACGTGGGGGTGTCGCGGGTCTAGGAGGGGTGCTTCGAGTCTCGAAGGGGTGCGGCGGACCTTGCAAATGTCTTTTGGGAGGGGTTGCCGCGGGTCTCAAGGGGCTGCCATGGTGGCCCCCGTTACAGTGGATCTCACGCCTGTCTTTGCGAGGGTGGCGGGATTCCACGGATACTTCCGCGAGCTAAGTGGCACTCCCGCGAGTACTGCTAGTCCCGCGACACCCCCTCGACAGGTCCTGCCACCCTCAGTGGCACCGGGTGCCTACCTTGTAGGCGCAAAATCCAAATTCAAAACACCAATTATCTCCGTATCTAGACGTTTGCGCCCACTAGTTCATTGGTGAAAAATGGTCCCCTAGAGATGCCTAAACTGCCTGCAAATTATTGACACAGTGAGAAAACTCACCCTGTATTTAATGCAAAATTTGAGAGGAAAAGTTTCATAACCATTGAATATCAGAACACGAAATTTAATTTCTCTTCTCGGCACTTGTACAGCCGGAAAATCTGATCAAAGGGTTCTAAAGTTCTTGCCGTTATCGTTACAGACTTTTATAACTGTGATAAGATAATTTAGACCAGAACGATGGTTATGCAAAATGGCCTACTTTCAAAAACTCGCGCCAACCACTCGCGTCCCCCGACGCACCCACCTCGTCGAGCAAGGTGGATCGGGGGCCCTCGGAGGACCACCCGAGGACGTTTTCGGACGCCCCACCCGAA